GTGGTGCTCCCGGGCAGGGAAAGTCCTCGACTTACAATTGGTTGGGTAGTCCTCAACTTAGGACCGGTTGGGTAGTCCTTGACTTATGACCGGTTGGGGGCCGCGGCATTAAAAAGGTTGAGAACCACTGTTCTATTATATACATAAAATTATATGAAGTGGAGTTATTTATAAATGTATGCTTATATATAAGATTTCATGAATTCCATACATCTAATTTCCATGTAACTTTCTACAGTATTTATCTTTTCCATCAGTAGTTGAAAGTCAGATATGATAGATTACATCTCTTAGAAATCCAAGGCTACATCTCACTTGCTACTTCTTCCATTGTGAGTTTGGGCTACTCTCCATTTTTTGAGTGCAGGAATGGACTACACAGTTCCATATGTTTCATTGCACCCTTAGCTGTCTTTAATGCCCTTCCAAGCAGTTAATCTACTATACTTCTTTTCAGTTTAGTGATATATTCAGTTCTGATTGACAACAATGTCTGGTTGACTACAATGTCTAACCCTAACCCTGTCTATCAAAAACCTGCTCAGTTCTCTGAATGGTTATGCCTTTGTGATTGTTATGTTTGCATCTAGTTGCTGGATTCCTCATTTTTTTCTGTTATTCTAGCAATAGCCCATTAAGCCCACCATATTTTCCCTATTTCTGATAGCACATTTATTCAATTCTTGCATCTCTTAGAAGGCATCTTTTTGGCTTTCATCCAGTTTGGGTGGAACATGATATCCTTTTTTTCCCACCCTATGCCTATCTTGGTTCTTTTTTCCCATTTCCTTTTTTCAGTTATTCATTTGAAACTATAATATTTCAACAAGTGCTACTCCTTTGTTTATATGATCAAAGTGGAATTAAGAGCACTCTAATCTCTTTACTCTAACAGCAATGATAACAAAAGAAAAAGGAAGAGTCTACTCTATGATAAAAGACAACATGAAACAAAGATGGGAAGGCATTCCTGAGGGGACACTTCTTGGAAATCAATGGAAAATATTGGGGATGAGTGAGAAAGAAACAGTTTTCATAGACATATTGATATTGAGCCAAGTCTTTTCTGTAGGGCAAGAAAAAGAATAATAAGCTGTTAGGTCTTGTACTGGCCAGAAACCTACAGTGGTGTTTTTCAACTATGGCAGCTTTAAGATGTGTGGACAACTTCTCCAGTTAGCCTGTTGGACTAGGGAATTCAAGGAAACTGAAGTCCACAGAATTCTCCAGCTAACATGGCTAGCTGGGGAATTCTGAGATTTGAAGTGCATATGACTTAAAATTGCCAAGATTGAAAAACACTGGTCTGGAATAAAATCAATTTGTACCTATTGCCAACTCATTCCACTTCAGATTGGAATTTGTTAAATTGGTTTTAGGAATAGCCAGGACCAGTACAGGAGACAAACAGCTCAATCTACATTGTAGAATAAGCCTTAAGTAGCACTGATCATGGTTCAACATTGGGGCAGGAAGGAATATAGGGGCACATCCTAGAGATTTTATTTACATAGAGATTTTATTTACATAAAGATGATTTCTTGTTCTTCTATCTTGTACTTCTTAACTGAATAATGTATTCACCTGAAAGGTAGATCACTATTATTTGTTAAATTTAATCACTGCCTATCTCACCGTGATGCTACTATGCTGTTAGTTGCATGCTAGAGTAAATCATTGTAAAACTTAGCAGACAATTTCCTACCAGTTTTTGTTCTACTTGATTGATAATAATTTGTTTTCAAAATTTAGGTTGGAAAAGAAAATTTTGGTTAAATTACAATTAATATGAAGGCCAAAGGGCAAATGTGACTGTCTATATTTCATTTAGTAACTGCACAACAGTATTATGCTGGATCCTAAGCTTCCCACAATTTCACTACTTCCCAGGAAAAAAAATATCATGGTGAAACTGATCTTGCTTAGTTATTTTTTTTTAAAAATGTGGAACATGGATAGAAAACAATAACATCATTAATAATATCTTTCAGCTCCTACAAGAATTTCCCAAAGAAAAGTTCCAGAGAACAATGATTTCAAATTCCCATTGAATATAAATAGCCATATTCAGTTTGGGCTTTATTACTTTAGATTCCTTTCAACTACAACTACAACTTGCATATATTAACATTGAACAAAGTGCACAACTAGTCAATACAATCTCACCTATTCTTTTCTCAGCCTTCCTTAAAGAAGTATTTTGCAAACTAGACTGGGCAAAAGATGGAATAAAAATTAATGGTGTCTATTTAAATCACTTAATAATAATGAATAATAACAATGAAGTGGTAAGATGGCAGTGCCTGGATCAGCTGTGGTTGCATTGGCTATCGAGGGTGAAAAGTTTTTGGAGGGATATAAGGAATATAGGTTACACAATTGGGAAGATTTTAATGTGTTTGAGCAACATTGTGGGACTAAGGTAACATATGACCGACAATCTTTGCTGGTATAGTGAGTTTTTAGCTATTTTGGAACTATTGGTGAGACTGTTAAAAGTTGTTTGTGCTGTTTGAAATTGTTCTGCCAGCAGCAAGATCTGACTGCTGGCACAGTTATGAATTCTATTGCAAATCAGGGCTGTTTCCAAAGGAGGCAGAGGAGGAGAGCAAAGGAACTGGATGAGGCTGTCAGCAGGCCCAGAGGAAGGGAGAGAGATTTTGGATGTTTGTAGGAGGCAACATCATAATCCAGGGGCAAAAAGGAGCAAGGCCCCTTCAAGGAAAAGGTAGAAATGACTGGATCAGAAAAAGAAAAGGAGGCAAAGTTGTCATGAAGGGATACAAACTAATTTGAGGGCTAATCCACATAGAGCTCCATTTCCATCTGTCCTGTTTGCCATCATTCACTGTTTAGAGACGAAAATGGACATTCTGAAACTTGAGCTAGCCACGAACAAGGAGTGCAGATCAGAGGTGGTGGAGCTTTGAGAACTGTATGCGACGAAATTTCATTTTGATGTATCTGATTGGTGTACATTCAAAGTGACAATAAAGTTGTTGTTGTTGTTACTAAGATTTGCAGATTATGTTGTTCTCTTCTCAGAAGACCCAGAAGAGCTACAAAGACACATACAAGAGCTGCACAAAGCAGAACCATTTGGCTTAAAAAATAAACCTGAAAAAAAGCCAGGTTATGTTTAATAAATTTATCAAAGAGAGGAAAAAAACTATATCTGGAGAAGAACTAGACATAGTAGATCACTACACATATGAGCCGCGGTGGCACAGTGGTTAGAATGCAGTATTGCAGGCTACTTGCAGTTCAGCAGTTTGATTCTCACTGGCTCAAGGTGGGCTCAGCCTTCCATCCTTCCAACATTGGTAAAATGAGGACCCAGATTGTTGGAGGCAATAGGCTGACTCTGTAAAGGGCTATAAAGCACTGTGAAGAGGTATATAAGTCTAAGTACTTTTGCTATTGTTATATACCTTGGCCAATGGATCTCAATGGAAGGTGATACAATCAAGGAAATCGAATGGGATGTTAAATGTGGTTGGCTGGCATTCGTCAAGCTAAGAATAATTTTCAAGAACAACCTCCCCTAGGCCTAAAGAAAGAAAATTTCAATTAATGTGTGCTCCCTGCTGTAAGATAGTGAAATATGCACAACAACCTCACAATTGATGCAAAACCTACAAGTGGTGCAAAGAGCCATGGAAAGATACATGCACAGCATTAGAAGACAAGCACATGGATTAGAAAACAAACCAAAGTATATGATATCCTCAAGAGAGTAAAAGAATTAAAATGGAAATGGGCTGGTCACATAGCAAGAAGAACTGATGGCAGGGGGACCAAGGCAGTCATAAAATGGATCCTACTTGATAAAAAATGTCCATGAAACAAGATGGATTGATGACATCAGCAAGCATTGCAAATCCAATTGGCAAAGAAAAGCTGCTGCTGCTGCTGATATTAATCTACGTGACTTTACCTCTTTTTCACTAATTCTATTCTGTGATTGACTTACAATGTGCTTTGGGGGGATAATATTGCTAATGTATAATTCATTTATGCTACCTGCATAGATTCATTGTTGGAAAAAGACAATTAGATTCCTCAAAAAATTGTTCGAGTTAATAAAAAATAGTAAATTAATATTGTGTGAGAATAACTGGCTACCTCATTTCTTCCATTTAATTTTGCTTCTTAATATTGAATTGTATTCTTTATGGTTATTGCTGAATCAGTAGCTCCACATAAATTCTGTTTTCTTGACACAAGTCAATTCAGTTATGAGTTACAGGAGAAGCCAATAATCTGGCTGTACCTAATGAACATATTACAAAAGGCTAGTCATCCTTACTGGCAGTTTTCTAGTGGGGATTGTAGGCCAAGACATCTGTGGTCCAGATAAAGAAAACAGGATAGTGTGCTTCCTCTAGGTTAAAGGATAAATTATGTCACTTTAATGTGTCACAATTTGAATTCCAGCTAGTTTATAGGTCTCGTGGGAATGCACAGTGTCGCGTAACAGAATTTTTGAAAGTCAAAATAATTTGAAAAAAATAGAGAATATGTTGAAATGGACTTTGACAGAGAAAGTATTGACATGTTACATATCTGTCATGTTTGCAGAAAAATGGCAAATATTTTTCTCATCTATATATATTTTATTTCTATATATGTATTTATCTATATACTCAAATACTATACTATATATTTTGAGCTAAAAAGTTCATTACAAAATTCTAAGAACTGTGCAATGCAAATGATAAGTTTAATGTATACTGTATAGGAAATTTAAATTAGATAAATTGCTTTAAAATGAGGACTACATAATTTTCTTTATTTTGATGTACTCTCTTATTAATGCTCTACAGTGATCTGATTAAAGAGAATAAAATGTGTTTTTTTAAATGTTTAGAAACAACAAATGAATAGTTAGTAAAGAAAAACTAGCGGAGAAGTTACGTCAATTGCTAGTAGACTTTTAGGCCCAATTAAAGTTGTAGATTCCTGTAAGTAAAGCTCTGAATGGCTTGACCACTTCTTACCTTTGGTTCCAGTTTCTTCAGGTAGCATTTACCTGATCCATATATTTTGTTTAGGAGAGGATGCTGCAGTTGCCCATTGCTAGATACATGTGGAGGGAGTAGATCGAAGACCTGGAGAAAAACATTTTCAGTGGCAAAACTTTCACTTTGGAACAGTCCATGAAATCAGGTTAGATCTGATTCTTTTGAGTTCATATAAAAGGTGTTGCATAGGCCTTTGAGAGAATTAGTTTTAATTCAGCAGATTTGTTAAAGAAAGAATGACAAGGAAGGCCCAGCTTCATACAGTATTTTGGTATAAGATAAAAGTTGAAATTCAAAGGTCGTCTCATACATACAGGAAGGATTGCTGGCTTGTTCTTTGTCTTTCAACAGTTGATTCCTGTGCCACGATATAAACAGTTCGTCATGCTCTGTGGTTGGCGGCTGTTAAAGCAAAACAAGCTTGAAGTCTCCTTGGATTTACAAGACTAATTTTACAGTTCTTTGCATCCTGGCTAAAGATTAGAAACAATGGGATCAGACATGCCAGTGTTAAGTTTGAGAAACTGAGAAATAAATAAAAACTGTATCTGCCTAGTGTTTTAACAAAACATTTTCCTTCTTTAAAAAAAAAAAAACCCTCTTCATTTTCATGAAATAAAAACTGAACTCACTGTGTTAATATTTTTTTAGGAACTTGTTTTCATTGTTAGAGTTGTATGTGTGTCTGTCCATGTCCCTCTTTTGATACTCTTTTACTAATCTGCAATATTTTGCTGGCTTTTCCTGCTATCATTGCATTTAAAAACTTATAACAATACTCTAATACATTTTCCCCACCTCTCAAGCACCCTGAGAAACCAAAAAAGTCACATGTGACACATGAGTACATAAGTCACTTGTTCCCTGTGGATATTCTTATAATCAGAGGGATAAAACTTTCAATAGTTTTCAGCACAAGATTATATCTGAATATGTATAAACCTATCACAACATGATAGTATTCAGCCCAAGGGGTTCCTTAAAATCCTGGGCTATCTTGCAGAGCAACTCATAAGTGATCATGAAATCCAAATCTTCAATATAATTGAAGGGAAAATTGCTAAATTTCCTGATAGTCATAATATTAATTTTATTTATCATTAAATCAGACAGAAGTTTTCTTCTGGACTTACCTACCATGTATTCTGGAACACATCACTCAAAAACTGTCCTCAACCCACAAAAGGATGGATGCCAGATCTATCCCAATTTTGACTCTGGTGAACAAAACACTTTCTTTGGATCTCACACTTTTACTGAAGATACCGACAAAACCAAGGTCTTTTTGCATGCAAAGTTTTTCCCCCTCATTTTATGATTATATAGACAGATAAGTAGGAAAGGGAGTAAAGAAACAAGAAGAAAATCATTTTTGCTGAAAATCACTAGAATAAAAATTGAATTAAAAAAAAATCAGAGTGCACTTACTATTTCTGAGAGCATCAATGGTACATCAATTTTCCTGGATGACCAGGTGGATATGATGACAATACAGTCCTCTTAAAAAAAATTATAAAGGAATAGCCAGATTGTATCAACCTGCTTTCCATATTATATAGAGTATAAATTTTATGACTTAGGAAGAGGAGCAGAGATTCTGAAATATCTGTTTAAAAATTCTACTTATGTGACATTTGAATTGCATGTTTATATTGCTGTCTGTTGCTCAGTTAAAACTAGTACCCACTTGAGCCTATACAAGGAAGGGATTTATTCATTTATTAAAAATGGTTATGATGATGCCTTCTGAGATAACTTCTCCCAAAGTGATTTGAAATAAATTCAATAAGCACGAGCAATAACAACAACTATTGAAGCAAATCATTTCTGCAATCCCAGTATCTCAGCTAAATCCTACCCAGTGATAAGTCAATGTCTACAGTCTAAATATATTTAGAGCCTACTTGAATATTGGTGGATATTAGTTTGCTCTAACTCTAGATGCAGGAGTCATACTGACTCTGTAAACTGCTTAGAGAGCTCTGTAAAGCACCGTGAAGCGGTATATAAGTCTAAGTGCCATTGCTAAGTGCTATTCTGCCTGTTTTAGCATTTGGTCTAACTACTCTGGTGGAAATGCCCATTTCAGAGTGCAAGGTGTTGCTGAAAATAGTCCTTCCGGTAACCTTTTTGGGCATTACAGGCCAGTGTTAGTATTTTAAATTAAATATTCACCATTAACCACTCATTTGCACACAGATATCATTACTTGAGTATTTCCTTTTTTAAAAATCAGCTGACATTTCTAATAATCTTTATGTATGTCAGAAGAGAAAGAATAATAAGCCTATGCAATTCTTCAGAATAAATTTCCTTAAAAGTGCTTCAGAGCAAGAAGTCTGCATCAGTCTGCAACACCTTAGAACAGCTGCATTCTTTCCTCAGATTCCACAGCAGCTGTAGACAGTGGTCATGTGGTCCACATCTGTAACACATCCACCTCTATTGCATGATGGATCAGGGATCTTTTTAAACTATTATTTTATTATTTTTATTAAGAGTTTTAACCACAATAATAAATGATTTTTTATTTATGTATCAATTTTATGTCTGTCCATCTCATGAAAAGTTAGTCTGGGTGACAAATAGCAATCAAATAAAACAACAAATACGTAAAAAATTATTATAAAATATAAAACAATCATCACTAAAAATAAAATATTATTAAAAATTAAAATATATCTTGGGGGACTGATGATATAACTAAGTCTTGATGGACTTTTGGAACATGAACATGAGCTAATTTAACTTCAGGGTGGAGAATGTTCTATAAGTCATGCTTACACTAGACAAGGCCTTTCTCCCGGAACCTACGAAATGTAAGTACCTTCTCTGCCAAATCTAATGGGAGGGGCTGATGAAATTGGGGGAGGCAGTCCCTCAGATAACTCAAATTAAATATACAGTTAGTCTTCAACTTACAACTATAGTTGATCCCAAAATTTCTGTTACTGAGACAGTTGTTAAGTGAATTTGGTTTCCCCATTGACTTTGGTTATCAGAAGATTGCAAAAGGTGGTCACATGACCTTGGGACAACACAACCACATAAATATGAGTCAAATGCAAGCGTCTGAATTTTGATCACATGACCTTGGTGATTCTGCAATGGTCTTAATTGTGAAAAACGGACATAAGTCACTTTTTTTCAGTACATTGTAACTTTGAACAGTCACTAAATGATCTGTTGTAAGTTGAGGACTATATGTAATACAAACTAAAAAGAGAAAGAGAAAATAAAATGAAAGCAAAAAATAAACAGAAGAACAAACTAAGAATGTAACTTTCAGTGGTGGGATTCAGCTGGTTTGCACTACTTCGATAGAACCGGTAGCTACTTTTTTGTTGCCCAGGCCCAGATTGGATTTCCAGAAGCGACATCCGCACAGAAAACCAGTTGTTCATATATTTGAATACCACCACTGACAACCTCCCATTCTCATAACCCTAAGTATAAATAATTTCACCATTTCTTAACATCCTCTTAGTTAACAGATATAAAAATATTCAATCTAATAATACAGTTCAGATGTCAGAAAGATCAGAAAGAAACCACCACAAAATAACAAAGTATAGCATTTTAATCCTGGTCAAATACAGATGGTTCTTAACTTACAACTCTTCATTTAGTGACAGTTGGAAGTTACAACACACTGAAAAAAGTGACTTATGATTGTTTTCACACTTAAGATCATTGCAATGTTCCCATTGTCATGTGATAAAAGTTTGGGCTCCTTGCAACTGACACATGTTTATGGCAATGAGTGTCCCATGTTACCTTATGTAACCTTCTGATAAGCAAAGTCAATGGGGAAGCCAGATTCACTTAGTAACCATGTTACTAATGTAGCAACTGCAGAGATTTACTTAACAACCATGACAAGAAAGATCATAAAAATCAGGTAAAACTCATTTAACAACTGCCTTGCTTAGCAACAGAAATTTTGGGCTCAATTATATGGTCGTAAGTCAAGAAATACCTGGAAGACAACTTTAAATTTCTTCCATTTACATAAAACAATCTTTCTTTTTAATACATATGAATTAACTCTTTTCAGGCATTTCTTCAAAACTTTAAGAAGCCTCTTTTGTTAAGTCCAGCAGAATAAATTATTCCGATTACTCTCTTGAATTGACATTTTTATTTTCATCTGAATTCCTTCTTTACATATAAACAGTGATAAATTCCTCTTTATGTTGTTCTCTGTAATCACGTCAGATAGGTTTTTGAAACTCTTTTTCTGTTGCAGCATCTTCTCCTGTAATAGCTTCTTCTGGGAGTAAAGCTTTGTAAAAACACAGAATCCAGCTGACATTGTTGATTCAAAGTTTCATTGTCATTCCCCAGCAATATCTCTGAACATTATTATAAGTTACCTTGCTATATCTCTGATATTGATTTAAAAATCCATTTTTGTTTCCTACGAAAATGCATTTATGCTTTCTAATAAATTAATTCACATTACTTTCAAAGTCTTAAAGCCTTATCTTGTTTTTTGCTGTTTATTTTTAATTCTTAAAACTTAGAAAAGATACAGTTTCATTTTCTTATATTAAGGATTGAAGGTATTCATCTGCTTTTTCGTCAGTACGCTATTTCTTCTCTGGAAATCCAAGATGGATCAGGGATCTGACTAGCATTAAGAAAGCTTCCTAAGTCTTGTGTAAGCCCTCAATCCTCCTAAGGGCATGATCAATTTCCTCCTTTACAACTCCTGTGCTCAGAAATAGGCATTACCAATCTCTTCTCTTACAAGTCCCGTCACATAGGGGTGAGACAACTTGAGACAAAGGAAGCAAAGAAGGATTTTTGAGGTTGGAGGAAAGAGTCAAGGAATAAGCCACTGAGATCCTACTCTTCAGGTGAGAGAAAACTTACCTTTGTCTGTCTAACTGGATAGCACCTCCTCTTCCTGTTTCTTCAATTAAAATAAGGATCAAAATTTTGTACTATCATTTACTATTAAATCAGAACAAAACAAGTGGGAAAATATAGCAACTATTTTTTTAAAAAAAAAACAATAGTAAAAGAAAGCTTTTGCCTGATTTTCAGCTGACATTACATTAGACCATTAGAAATGCATAAAAATAATGACCACCACTTCAAACAACAAATAAAATGTTTTGCATTAATGGCATGCACTTAAATAAAAGCACATACACACACAGTTACTACTGGTCCACAATTACATGCTTGTGACATCAGCTAGACATAACTGAGATGGATAAAAAAAAAAATACAAGGAACAGTGGTAAGTACAATATGGAAGCTTCTAAATAAGATCCAGTAAGCTCTCCCAAGCAGTAATTTCACTTTTTCATTTACAAATTTTAACCAAAGCTGTATCAATGGATTCTATAAAATGTAAAATAAATTATGTGTGAGAGAGGAAGAGATTGAAAAAGTAACTTTTCTACACTCAGTTTTTCTGAACTGATTTTTAATAGGGTTTTGGGCATTCCAATCTGATTTTGACATGCTTTAAAGAAAGCAATTGCATTTGATTTATAAATCTTTTGGGAAAGAAAAAGCTCCTAAACTTTGGACTGATCTATGGAAATGCCACTTATAATATCCACTGAAATTAAAGAGCTCCCAACACTTCTAAGACTCGATTTGCTATTTATTCAGTTATGCCAGATTTCTGGATTGAGTGAAAGAGCATTTGGGAATATGTTATTCCTGGAACTTTGCTATAATTTGGAGGGTTCTACTTAGTTTTGAGTGCTAATTGGTTCATTCTGGTATTTGGCATATCCACTCCGCTCAGGATATTCAGGTGTCAAATTAATAATCAATTGTATTCGACTGTGCAATGTTATGTTTGTTTACTAAGAAATAATAGTCAGTGTACTAAACAGGGTTTCCTCCCAAGTAAGTGTGCATAGAATTGCCTAGCCTGCCCCATATCTCCTTTCCTACTGTATTTTGTAGCCTTCACCTTGGCAATGGATATAAATGAAAAAAAGGCTATTTATTATACTGTAGTTTCCTTTGGTCATTTGTGCGTTGGATCTCTTTCATGGTTGTCAAGGCTATACATATTAAAAAGAGCAAAAGAGGGTGGGGAGGAAAGTATTTTTGTATTGTTTTCATTTTCTAATACAATGCCAAGGGAAGGAGAAGAAAAACAGGTGGTGACATCATAAATATGGAATCTGAAGGTCACAAACAGGAATCAGAACACAAATGGGAATGTTGAGGAATGTACACTATAAAAAATAAATCAGTCAAACTCCTCTCCCCCTTCCATCCTTTGAAAAGAGAAGAAATATGGGTAGATTGAAATATAGTGTTTTATACTTCCTCTTCAGATTTTATGTCTACTTGAAATACTTTTATGAAACTGTTTTAGCCTCCAGAGCAAATGCTTACTTGGAGAATCACCAAAAAGTACATGAGTAAAATACCATAGCTTATAACTTCCCAAAATATCCACTCACAAACATTGTTCAGACTACTATAATTCTAAATAAAATAGTTAATTATATTTTTTGTTGTAGAATGTCCTTTTTAGGGGTTATATATAATAATTATAAAATGATAGTGAAAGATAATTGATCAATCTTGACTCAATTCATGTTGTGAAAATGGAAATGAAACAGGTCTTTTCGTGGGGGGAGGTAGGAGAAAGAGAGAGTATATTTTGACATATGTATATATGCATGTTTGTGTGTATGCATATACTGCACATACAGTATTCCATTAGAAAGACTGAAAGAAGGTTCTCAAGTATATTTCTCAACTGTTTTCATCTTCAGTTTTATATCAGGCTCTGACTCTGCTAAAAATAAAGTGTGTTTTCCATTCTATTTGATCATTTCCCCCTTTTCCATCATGTTTTCTGCAAAGTGGGGGGATGATGCTGGTCTTAATATCAAATTCCTTAATATCAGGAAAAAATGTTCACACCTGTTAGTTGATTGTTGTAAAAGTGATTTATTTTTAAGGCTCCAGTTGTGACTGATTTTCCCAAATGCATATTTTATTTAGTTAGTTCAGTTAGTACCTTTTAACCCAGATAATGTTGACTATCCTGGATATGCTCTTCTTTTCCCTGGTCTTTGGTTGCTGCTGCAGCTGTCTCCTTCTACAGGAAACCTCTTCCCCTTCCTTAATGGAGCTCGTGGGAATGTAGGGATCCTGGAACTGAAACCCTTCTTCCCTTCCAAACTCCCCTATTGAGTAAAAATGGGTGGGGAGGCAGGAGAAGAGAGAAAGAGAGAGAGAATACCTCTAATTCCCTGGAAATAGTTTTGCCAGCCTATTTTTTAAATAAATCCTTTCAATTAACCACTTCATTCCTGATTATGAAACAGATTTGTAATCTCCTGTAAATGTCCTGAATCATTTCCACCCACTTTTTGAAGTTCTCCATTTGGGTTGAATTACAGCATCCTACTTCCATTGTGTAATACTATTTAATAAATGAAAACAGGTTTGAATTCTGCAATAATTTTCAATGTTTTACACAGCATTTATCCACTTCCTTCAGCATCTAAATATATATATATATATGATTATTTTTTCCTAAAAGACTAAGTATTTTTAAAAAAAAATCATTTAAATGTCTTTTGATGTCGAACAAGAATTACTACAGCATTTCCTATATAAATGCTCTTAGTTTAACCAGTAATTTAAGTTCTTTGGTTTGAAACAGTGAATTGGACTGAGATTTATACTTTATATTTGTTATGTAATATTTACATCTAATTTTATAAATTGTATAAATGCCATTTCTAATATACAAATTTTTATAGGAACACAGAATTTAGTACATTATGGAGAAAATTTACGATGTTGTAAACATCAATATCTTGTAATCTTCTGGAATCAATGTTATGATAAGCTAATTTTATTTTAGGAATTCCTGATTATTCCTGAAACTATCATATGAGGCAGATCAGTAGATAA